GAGAAACTAAATGTCCATCTTTCTTGGGGCTTCAGGGTTGTTGAATCAAATTGTTGATCATTCATCGAACGCAAAAACGTCCCTTTGCCTTGATTGCCGCAGTATAGAGTCTTCAGCCATTTTGCCATGTTTCAGTGGCCTCAAAATACGTTTGGAAGAAGGAATGGTAAATGCGGGAGTAGAACACGTGACGGGTTTCCCGCCAAATCTTGGCGCTGCTGAAGGTGGTGACGTAAACTCGTTGACGTCAAAAATCCACGTGCCGATTCGGCTTCTCCCAGAAGGACTAGCGAGTGGTGATGGGTTTGAATTCGGTGTGCTGTTGCTACGGCTTAGCCTCGACGACGATCGAACCGGCGAAACGTGCTTCAACGGTTTTAATGGTTGAAACGTTTGTTTTCGAAGCGGTTTTAGCGCAGGAAGTCTTCCTTCGGTTTTCCCTGTTGCTGCTAACTCTGTACTGTCGTCTTTTCTACGAGCCTGAGTTCGAGGAAGGGACTCGGAATTCTCATGCTCTTTTCGAGAGCTGTTCTTGATCCGTCGAAGCTTGACACGTTCCTCAAGTGTTTGATATACGGCCACGTCACTGTCGTAGAAGCTATCCGAATCTTGTACGGACGATGAAGACTGAGCTATTTTTCTCTGTTCGTTGTCTTGCAGTTCATCAAGTCTCGACGCAAAAGAAATTGGTTTCTCGTTTTCCTTTTGCGTCTCCATTTCTTGACCCGCCCCCCTCTTTATGGGAGTCTCTGCTCTGGAGCTCTGGGAGGACTCACAGGTGTGGTCGATAGCTGTTCCCTTCTCAGACTTCCGTCGTTTTGTTTGCCTTTCAACTTCCGGTGGTTGGAGGTCCTCCGACTTCCGCTTCCGTCCCCAGCTTGAAATGCTGAATGGTGATGCAACTTCTTCCTCTCCTTCCCCGTCACTGCTATCGGCCACTGTGCTAAACACGTCGTCATCTTCATCAAAATCGTCCTCCTCATCATCAACTACGGAAGACGATTCAGTTGTGCTGCACATTTCGCTTTGAGACTCTGAACCCTCGATTTGACTTGATTTTCTTTTTCTTCCAATCCTTGTATCGCCTGCTTGTCTGATCCCCTCGTCTTCCCCAAAGCCTAGCTTTCCATTTTCTCCTCCCCTGTTTATGTCTTTTTCAGTGACTGTTTCAACCTCGCGTTCAATATTTTCTCTCATTTCCATGTCCTCTTCACCTGATTCAGCTTCGTGAACGGTGCTATTTTCCTCATCTTCCAAAGTGGTTTGACTAGCGTCTCCATCCATACTCTCCACAATGGAGTTGATTTTACAACTCAGGTCACCTTCAGATGAAAACGACCTGTCAAAATGTGGCACATTGAAGCCTATGAAGTCTTCTTCCTCCTCGTCGTCGGACTCGAACAACCGAGTGATACCAGATCCCTCCTTACGACGTTTGTCCAAAAAAGAGGCCGAGTGGAAATCTTTCTTGATGCGAGGGCTCCCATTCAACAGTTTAATTCCCGCCAGAGATGCACTCAAGTGGTACGGTGATCCACACACTGCAGTTGTTGAGATATCCCCCAAGGAGAGGACACCATCAGATAAAAGCTCTTCTCTGTCTATTGGAGTTTCTTCTTCCATGTTGCGCACAGATGAATGCACTGTCGACGCACATGTGCTGCTCGGTTCATGAATGGGTCCACTTCGAGGGCTACCAGATAAGGTGCTTGAAACGGACTCAGATGTGAGGTCTTTTAGTTTTAGGGCCTTTCCCCGAGGAGAATTATTCGATGTTCCTTTTTTCCTGCCACTGTGTTTTGGCTTCTTTTCTGGCATCTTCGTTTTGGGACTCGCCACTGTCTGACTCCTTTGATTTGAACTTTTGCGTTTCGCTTTGACGCTGGTAAAGGGCGATGAAATAGTTTTTCTCCCTCGACTTTCACCTCCATCACCCGTTATCGAGTCCACGTCGGGAATTTTGCATTGTGATCTGGTTCTTTTCCCGGGACAAGGGTCGTGATCTTCTTGATCTTCGCGCTTTCTCAAGCTATTCTTTCTGGCCAACGGGGCTTCGTCCGAATAACCAGACTTCTCCGAGCTCACCGGTGAAGGGCAGTATTCCAGCGTGGGTGTGCTCGAGATGTCATCTTCATTCCCATCCGAGGGAGCGTTCTCAGAGGAAGACTGCTTCGATAACGTTTCTCCACTTGATAACTGGATGCTCTCTGTTTCAGATTCGTCTGATTCGGTCTCCAGTACAGGCCTCTTACGGATCACGCACAACTGTCTACAGTCCGGCAACTTGATTTCCACAACTTCTGAGCCACGAGAAAACTTTCCTAAGCTTTGGTTCGTGTCTTGTTTGTTCGTCGTTTTAGCAGCTTCTAGTGCGCTGGCTTTGGACGAGGGAATGTTTTTCTGAGGATCACACTTTGCACATCTAATGGGGTGATCACGCGATTCCATTTTTCTTTCCATGTGCTCCTGCTCCACTGATTCTTGAGTAACCGAACAAGAAACTATGCTCTTTGTCTTTTCAGTAGCATCTGCATCATCACAAAACTCCACAATGGACGCTGGAGCGGAATACGCGCGTGATCGAGGGAGTCTAGCCACGCTGTCCGTCTGGACGGTTTCAATAGTTCCTTGCTGATCACCCGGAGCTATTTCATTTGATTTCATTACTCTTGCACTGTTGGATTCATCAGAGGTCTGCTTTGTTGTTTTTGGTGAAGACCTCGTTCGCCTCTTTCTCTCCAGATTTTGTTCCTCCATTTGTGGTGATTCAGGGGTCTTGGACTCAGATTCGCCACTGCTTCGTTCAGAAAGATTTTCCTTTGTAGAGGATCTCAGGCAAGCCCTTTTAGGACTTTCCATTTGGATGTCCTGCTTGAGTTCTTCCTGCACATTAGGTACAAGAGATTCAGCGCAATCCTTGTTTTCACCGCAGCATCCTTGAAGAGTTTCCTTTTCAGCTGATCTAAGGCTGCTCCTTTTGGGACTTTCCATTTGGATGTCTTGCTTGAGTTCTTCCTGAACATTAGGTACAAGAGATTCAATGCAATCCTTGTTTTCACGGCAGCATCCTTGAAGAGTTTCCTTTACAGCTGATCTAAGGCTGGTCCTTTTGGGACTTTCCATATGGATATCTCGTTCAGACTCTTCTTTACGAGATTTAACGAGATCATTATTATGGCGTCCAGAAAGCTTCTCCTTTGCAGCAGATCTAAGG